GCACTTTTCACCCAAGCTAGCAAAGTTAACTTGATCTAATTTTCTGGTATACACTAAGCCTTCAATCTAGGAAATTTAGAAAGAGTTTTTTTTTGGGGGGGGGGGAATCCACCAAGAACTCTACATATTTCCCTGCCAACTAGTCACAGTCACACCAAAATTAAATTGTGACACAATGGAGTTCAGTTTACAATTAAGCATTCATATACAGGTTGGACCTCTCTGGTCTGGCACCCTCAGGACCTGACTGGTCCCAAATGAGAGAATTTGCTGGACCAGAGGAGGTCCCCTGTTACCGGCTCCCCAGACCACTTTCTCTCCCTACTGCCAGCGTTAGCCACCCCCCGCTGGGCTGCTGTGCTACTACAGCAGCCTGGACTGCCCCAGCCCCAGCCCTGCTATTGGGGCTGCCGTAGCTGCTGCATCTTTGGCCTCAGCCCCCACTGTCGGGCTGCTCGGCTGCTGTGACTCTAGCCCTGCTAGGCTCCGAGCCGCCAGCTGTCTTGCCACCAGGACTTCCAGCCAGGACTCGCTAGTCCAGGAATACAAATAGTTCTGCTGGTCCACAGATGTTGCTGGATGAGGGAGTCCCAGTTCTGGGAGATCCAACCTGTATTTCCAATCATATATTTTATTGTAACCCTTAACATTGCTGTTTTTGAAAAATAAATGGCTTTTCCTTTAATCACAGCACATTATTTTATTTTATTTTATTTTATTTTATTTTATTTTATTTTATTTTATTTTATTTTTGCTGGCTGTGTTTCTTCTCATAAAATAGCTAAGGAACCTTTTCTCACATAATCTGATCCTGCACATAAACTGATACATTCTTACCATGTATGTGAAATGTTTGACTGTATGTCTTGGCAAAGTCAACTGCATTTCTTTTCTGCAGGTGGAATGATATTGGAAATATAATACATAACAAGTCTTCAATCATTGTGGAGTTGATCAACAAAGAAGAAACCGTGCTCTTTCACACAGTAAGCAAAGTGGCTACACCATAGCCACTTCACAGTATAACAGACTGAACTTGAAGTCACACTGTCTTCATAGAGATGATGCATAGAGCTGTCATCTCACTCACCTCATTTGGAGGGTGTCAGTCACACATGCAGTCTTGTCACCTGCTCATGCTTACTAACATGCCCATTACCTGTATTTGAAGGGTGAGCACAATTAATTTTTTACCTTGAGATGTATGGACTACCTTCTCGACAGCCTAAAATCTACTGTTTTGGGAGCACTGTGGACTGCTTTTTGGATGGCCACACTTTGTGCTGTCATAGCTGCAGCAGCCTAAGCAATGGTGGAGCCTGTATATCAGGGTTGTGGAAGCTTTGCCCTCACACACCAGAGCTTAGGGGGCCCCAGACTAGTACATTTTGTGGCCTCCATTCACTGCACTGAGGGCAAAAATGAGCACTTGAGTTTGTGGGAGGGGGCTGGCAGGAAGCGGGCTTGAGGTGTAGGGTCTGGGTAGGAGAGTGCAGGAGTGGGTTGGGGTTGTTGGATCTGGGAAGGTGTAACGGGACAGGAGCGGGCTGGGGTTGCAGGAAGTAGGGTGCAGGACAGAGTGAAGGTGTGAGGTCTGGGTGGGAGGGAGGACACAGGGCTGGAGTCCCAACTCCCCGAAGCTGGGGGGGAGGCACAAGCCTAGGGGGGCAGATCTAGCTCCCGAGAACATAGGTTCCCCACCACTGCTTAGGGATGGGAAGGACGAATTGATTATCCGATAAGAAAGTGCTTATCAGATAGTCGACAAGCTTGTTGACTAGTTGCTCCTTCCTCTCCCCCCTGCCTCCCTTTGCTGCCTCTATCAGAAAGAAGCAGCAAGGTAGGGGGGAGGAGAAAAGAGGGGGTACGAGAAAAGAGGGGGTACTTCAAAGCTGATCCCGGGCTCCATGTGGCACTCCCAATTTGAAACTTCGTGAGGAGCTGTCTCCAGGCTCCCACAGCGTTTCAAAGCAGCAGTGCCGCACAGAGCCCAGCGTCAGCAGTGAGTCCACAGCTGACCCTGGGCTCCACGCGCTGCTTTTGCCTTTAAAGTGTAGCAACAGCCTTAGGGCTGTTCCTACTCTTCAAAGGCGGAGATGCCCTATCGACTAGTTGAATAGTCAGTTACCCGTAATTTAACATCCCGAGCCCTGCTGTACATGCTCTTTGGAGATCTAGGCAGCGCCGTAACTAGGTATTTTTGCACCCGGGGCAAAATATGAGTTATGTGCCCCCTTCTTCTTAGGCTAACATGCGTTGCACTCTTTACTTTTGCAGCTTATTATTTTTACTTATTGCGTCTTTGCACCACTGGTTATGATGCGCTTAGGAAGAGTGCCCTGCTTGCCCCACTCTTGTTACGGCTCTGGCTCTAGGAGGCAGTGTGCCGTGATCTGAGGAAACTGCAACTCCACGTACCCCTAATGTGATGCGAGTGTATAAATTCTGCAACCTGGCTCCAACATTTTTCTTAGTTTTGTTCTGTTTCACTGTGATTAGCAGCAAAGTGGCAGCATGTAAGGACATGCTAATGCATCTCAGTGATCTAAGGTTTGAGGGCACTGCACATATTCTTAGCAGTTGACTTTGTTTGTGTGGCATTCCTTAAAGGGCATTATTGCTGTTGAATATTTAGAACACTTTTGGTTGCTGAAATCAATTCACTGTAACAGCAGCAGAATGACTAATCAGATGGCTTTTTCTAATTTTTCTTCTTGTGTTTTAAAGGATGATATTGAAAATGCAAAATATATTTCACGGCTGTTTGCTGCAAGGCATAAGTTTTACAAACACAATAAAATCTGCACAGAGTGAGTATGCATACTTCAGATTTTTTTTCCAATACACTGCATTGAAAGTGCTCTGATTTTTGGGTTGTCTCTCACTTAAAAATAATTGCGTCAATTACTCTTCACCAGCAATGGAATAATTCTTGTGCTATATGAGGCCTGTGTATCACTGTATACTCCTTGGCTGCATCTAGACTGGCAAGTTTTTCCACAAAAGTGTCCGCCTTTGCGGAAAAACTTGCCAGCTGTCTACACTGGCCACTTTGAATTTGTGCAAGAACACTGGCGATCTAATGTAAGATTGTCAGTGTTCTTCCGCAAATACAATGACTCTCCCATTCGGGAAAAAGCCCTCTTGCACAAATGCTTTTGTGCAAGAGGGCCAGTGTAGACAGCTGAGAACCATTTTGCGCAAAAAAGCCCCGATGGCGATCAGGGCTTTCTTGGTCAAAACCACGTCTAGATGGGCACAGATGCTTTTCCGCAAAAAGTGCTTTTGCGCAAAAGCGTCCGTGCCAATCTAGACGCTCTTTTCCACAAATGCTTTTAACGGAAAAACTTTTCCATTAAAAGCATTTGCGGAAAATCATGCCTGTCTAGACGTGGTCCTTAAGTCTATTTTGAGCACTTAGTAATACATAGGCTTTGAACTGGCCTTCTGCACAAGGGGGGATTTCACTCTGATGGAAGAGGAATGGGAGAAGTTTAGATTGTATAGTTTAGGGAGAGGACAAAGGCCAGTTTATTAGCTGAAAATCTCTTTCAGCATAGATTACCTACTGGAGTGGGAGCTGTGATTTTATATTTTGACATTTTCAGAATATTGCTGGGTTATATAGCAATGACACACACAGAGCGAATTCCTTGTAAAGTATTCAACACATTAGTTAACTGTAAAGCTGAGAAGAAGCTCCATTCATCATCACCACCATCAGTTCTGTTTTCCCAGATGGACATCCATCTGTTCTGTTGCATGTTGTCATGTATTGGAAACGGAAGGCCACAATAATGGAAAGCAAGACAGGAAAGTGTGTGTGTGGAGGGGATACACACACATGCATGAGCATAAAATACATTTTAAAATGGGATGAGTGAGCGGAGGACTGATGGAGGGAACTCTAAGTGTGACCACTGCCTTATCACCAAATGAAAAAGTTTGAAATTGATCAGATTTAAAATGTTATCGACTGTCCTTGAGAGATGGATATATTTCCATTCATTCATTCATTCATTCATTCATTCATTCATTCATTCATTCATTCATTCACAAAACAATATGATGGGTAAAAGATTTTTAAAAAAAAACCACCCAACTTTGAGCAGAACCCAAAGAGAAGCATATTTCTACTTTGACACTATATACCAGGGTCAGCACAGGAGACTCTCCTATTATAGTAAAGGCTGCATAATTGCAGACTTGATGAGCAGAGATGTTTGCACAAGTTATATATCCCTTGACACAGAGGGGATAGGTGCTCAGATACCGTAACTCTAGTATAAGCAGATACTTCAAATGAATAACACCCTAAAAACACTTGCATTTTTCTATCCTCAGATAAAAATAAGTTGCAAAATTAAGTTGCTGAGAGAAATAAATAAGACTAAAATTCAATTACTAAGCAAATCGTCCTTGTCCTTGAAGGAGTCTCCTCTGCTACCACTATTTGTGTGTTACAAGTATTAATAGCCAGTGACATATTCCAGTGTGTTTTCTAACTGAAAATGTTTCCAAATCTCTTTGTTAAAAAGATTGTGTTGTTTGTATTTCCTTTGTCTGCATTTCCTCTAATCGCATATAACATCATTCACCAGATCAGAAATTGTAAGAGGAGAATTTTCACCTTTCCTCTCTACACGTAAGCACTGACTTTCTGACTCCTCAATGCTTCTTTTTTCCCTCTTTACTATTCCCACTATATCCGGCTAGTCCAACATTTACCTGGCTCTGCTAGCATTGTCCTTCAGCAGCTCTTTTGTCTCTTGGTTGGTGTGCACTGCCTTTTAGTGATTTGCTGTGACCTCTATAAGTTGCTGCTGCTGTTTTTTCTGTTCACCTGTATCATCTTGAGACCTGCCCAATGCTTCCTTAACAGACTTCTGCTTTTTACATTTGCCATTTTTAAACCAGAGTTTATTTTCTTTCTCTCGTTTCCAATTAGGCCATCTAGGATAATGGCCAGATAACAAGTTTAATTTGGAATAAAAATATGTCTATACATAGAGAAGGAACTTAATTTTTCCCTCTGTTAATATAATATATATACTCATATATATAATCTGCTCATATATATAAGTAATAAAATCATCAAGAGGGAATATCTTTCACTATTTTAGGCTCTTACTTTCCTCAGCCAGTCTTGAACCAGAATTTAAACTTTGTAGTAAGACCAGTTCCTAATATCTCTCCACTTTTCCCCATAGGCAATCAAGTTCTCCTCCCCCTATCCGACGACGGCCCACCTGGAGTAGGTCATCCTTGGTATGTACTATAGTGGGGACTTTAAGAATAATGCTGGTATTGCTGAGACCGGGACGGGGCAATTCGTGAGATAGGATATTTGCTGAAGTTCACATATGTTAAATGATTAGACATCGGCATTTTTGAAACTCATTCCTGCCATATCACTTATAGGAAGTGTGTTAATTTAAAGGGAAAGTATTAATTTAAAGGGAAAGTATTATTACTCTTGATTTTAAGCATTGAGGCCTTAATGTTTCTATTTGTCCTGCAAAAATGGAATGCCTTTACTGCAGGAATGTGGAGCTGTGCAATGGGATTTGTCCTGCAGAATAAAAATCTCCTGCAGATTGGGTAGAATTTGAAAGATCTATTACTGTATAATAATGGAACCTGAAAACATAAATAGGCCAAAACTGAATCATTGCATAATTTTACAGTGTGTAACTCTTAAGCATCCCTCCATGCTTTCTTTTTTGTCATCCTAAGGTGTCAAGTCTGTATTCAGATTGTGAGCTCTTTGTTGTCAGAACTTTATCTCTTTATGTGTTACTGTGAAGTGCCTAATGTTTCTGAGTAAAACTGTTACAATCAGTACATGATTGTTTGAGTCAATATTTTCCTTTTTGGTAAATCCATGTGGGTAATAGAGCTGCTTATAATTTTGACTACATTTTTTCATTGACATTTTCACAAAATGATATAAAGTTTTGATGCAATTTTTTTGGCAAACATGTCCTATTTTTCAACCATTTTTTGCTACTGCATCTTTCTCTCAGCAGCCTTGGACTATCCCAAGAAATATCAAATTTCACAGGACAACAAAGTGGGAATGCCCTTCTGCAAAGGGCAAATGGATTGTATAAAATGGCTTGCTTGTGAAACAGAATAAGACTTCCTTCTTGGCTTATCCCAGGCCCAGTGATGAAGAATAGTTTTCTCACCTTGTAGCACCTTCTTGAAGTAATGAATCTTATTAGCATATGACTCTGTGACAGTGTTAGTAGCTCTGCTTTTAACACCTCTTATCCATGCACGGCAGCTGTCTGGTTTTAAGATTGCCATTCCCTGTGTTTTAATAAAATCTGACCATTTATTCATTCTGGTCTTTCTATAAATCTGTTGTAGTCCATTTTATCTCAGTGGTATTAAAAATTGTCATATTTTCCTCTCCAAAAGCTGCAAATAGCTTTCACATGTTGGCAGGTATCTATATTTTAAACTAGTAGTCCTGCCCAGTTTTCTTTCCAACACTGCCTGTCATTTTTAATTTACTTCCAGAAAGCCGTTGGTTAGCAGACATTGCTTACATTCTTTAAAACACAAAATTCTTATAATCTGTTCCTTTGCTTTATTAGCTCTGTGGTGAAATATCTAATGTAAGGAAATGAATGGGTGCTTGAATTCCTTATGATCTAATGAGCCTCATCTTTACTGAAAAGAAAGCAAGACCCTCATCCTATCAGATATGAAAAATGGAAGCCTATATTTTAACAGGAAAAATGAGTCATGCCTCTTCAGATTCTGTGTGTAAACATTTGACAAATGAGAATGTGGATTGGAAGCAAGGAGAAGAGGAATAGCTCATTCTCCTTAAAACATACTGGTTTCCTCTCTGTTCAAATGAACCTCCACATGCTTTTGTTGTTGTTGTTTATTATTAATAGTTTTGCTCACTTGTTAGAGTAGTTATTCTGTATAGTAATTAGCTTTGCAGACAGCCTCCTTGTGCTGTATACAGCAGTGCTAGATCGCATTATCACTACTCCTTCGTCTTATACGGTAGCACTATAATAAATCAGTAGGCAAAAGTGGGATAATGAAGTGGAGTATCTGGTGTGCCTCTTTCGAGCAGACTATTTTGCCTGATCTCTCAAATAACTCCTGCTTTTCCCAGAAGTGCCCTTGCAGACCAGTCCCACAATAATATGTGGGATTCAGCTTGTTTCCTATATTTGGGGGAGGGGAGACAACAACTTCTGCGGGTCCCTGGGTAAGGTGGAGGGCCCCCCCGCCAACTCTCAGTGATGCCCGAAACGTGCGATACCCACACCTCTCCAGGCAGTCACCTGGAGTATTCCATTTGGTGCTCCAGTGGCAATGTAAGGGCCTGGGGCTTTGGCTGCTGCCACAGTAGCAGCAGCTGCCAAGAGTCCTTTGAATCACTGGGCCCCAGGGCAATCTCCCCTCCCCCCCCATACCGTTGTTGTGCTGGCCTATATTCTTTAATATCCATGATACAGGCTTAGACCCCCTTCTCTTGCTGAAGGCTTTTTTTCTGGCTCACATCTTTGGAGGCTCCTTCAGTTCTTGCCAGACTAAGTCCAGCTGCTCAAACTGCCAACAGAACCATTCTTCTGCTGACTGGAGCCATGTTCTTCGGAGCATCCTCATCTGTAATTGGATCCCACAGGAATATTTCCTGTTTTCCTCTGGTTCTGGCTTCACCCTTTCCTTGCCAGATTGCATGCAAGGATTGAAATGCCTTTATCACTGTCTCTTTTGCTTCTTTTCTATCTCCCTGATCCCATAAAAATGTAGGTGTAAGCCAAGCCCACTTCCTTTTTGACCATTCAGAGCTTAGCCTTCACTGTGACCCTTTGTCTCTGCACAAAGGCGAACTGTGCCTCTTCTCCCTGGAAGCCATGCACTCACTCAGTATTTTGCTCGCCTTGAACTGGCCTGTGCGACAGATCCCTCTGAGAAGGTTCTTCGGGTATACTTGCTCAGAGTCGGGACAGTTTGCCTCTTTCTGAACATACCAGTGTGTGTTTCCATAAACTTCTCAACTTAATCACACCTACACTCAAGGTGACTGCAATCCCATCCTCCAGCCTCTAAATTCTTCATGTATCAATGGGCAAAACTGACCTTGATGTCATCCATGCTTTGTATTGTTACCTGTAAAAAATCCCACTGATTTAATGTTAATATGTCCCTGCCACTGAGTCCTATCCTATCACAATGCTAGCTACAATATTTATCAGTTAGGGGTTTGCCCACTGAAATTCTGCATTCAAGAGACCCACGTGACTCTTCTGAGCCACCTCATACTGCTTTGCCCTCCCACCTACTACTGCTTTTGTTTTTGTCTCTCCTTGTTTTTGTCAGAGCCTAAAATTCTTCAGGGGCAAAGACTCTGGGTGAAAATGTTAAAAAAGTAAAGTGAGTGAGGAGCCTTACTCCTGTTTTCAGAAGTTACTTGAGTTGAAGTCCCAGTAATTCTCAATAAGAACCAGGCTCCTAAGTAGTTATGCCACTTTTGGAAATGAGATCTAGGCATATAGGCCCTTTTGAACTTACTGTCCTATGGGCTTGTTTTTTATGAAGCTCTATGCACATCTTCAGAACTTGTAGGGCAAGGCTGGGGAACCTAAGGCTTTTGGGCCTGATTAGTCTATTGCTTGCTCCACTGTGGTGGGGGGAAACCCCAAGCCTTGGCATCCCCCCACCCTCACACCTCCCAGTGCTGAAGCCACAAGCACTGGCTCATACACTGCAGGGGGGAAGCCCTGAGCCCCAGTACAGGCTGTGCCCTGTGATTGCTTTTTTCCATGGGTCAAAGGCCCTTGACAGAAAAAAGTTTCCCCTCTTCTGCTGTAAGGAAATGTTCTATGTCGTGGAAATAGCCTAGAGTAATGTCTTTTGCGCTTCAACTTCAAAAACTATGGCAAATGTCTTTGGCACAAACAGTTTGCTGAGGTTATTCATGTTTCCCTTTTCATTTCAGCCAAGACAGCATCCATTTATAATGCCTCCTATGCATGTCCAGTGCGGAGAACACTACACTGAAACACACAACTCTCAAGGTATTTAGGGTGTGCCTTTTTCCTTTCAGAGATCTGCAGCTTAGCATGCCAGCAAAGGGACTCTTGTTCATCAGAGCTTGATTTCTAGAATGGTGTCCTGGTCCAATGGGAGTTAGTATCCTTCCTCTACAGTACCTTCAGAATTAGGGCTGCAGTAACGGTTCTATTTAAAGCTCAATTTTCAAACGTCTCTAAAACACACATGCACCGTTACAGGGACTTCGAATGTGGCATGCCTGTACAGCGCAATGGGTAGAGTTTATAGGGCATGTTTGGGATCATTTTGTCAAGGGGTTGCCAAGTTACAAGTCTCCAATCGGGGTCTGATTTTAAAATAGCAGTTTTCTAGTTGTGCCTTTTTATCTGTAGATCCAGTGAAAAGGGGGAGATGGGGGAGTAGAGCCACACAACTTACATATTCTTTAATGGCTTTTTCTCTGTTCTAATGCCTGGCACCAGGATCAAGCTTCAGAAGTGTGAATAAAAAGTGGAGATTCTCACAAAAAATATCCTATAGCCTAGTGCATTGGTCTGGGCATGAGGAGACCATAAGTTCTTCCGACATCTGTGCACTGTTACTGACACAGCTCCACACTAGGGAGATGCAACTACTGTTTCTTCCTATCCCTTTGCTCCCCCTTTTCACTGGCAGATAAGATGATGGGGATGCTGCACCAAGTCATTTCCACCAGAGCAGGTGGCAGGGCCCAGACCTCTACTGTGGCAGACTCACCTCTCATTCACTGAATCACACTACCTTTTTAAATGATTTTCTCAGAGCTATGCCCGCATGCTGTGAGAGACACAGCTGAAGAACCCTAGCTAGTCGTCACACATGATGGAATCTTACTGTTGTGATGGTGTCTCAGGAATGGGGCAAGGGCTGTAGAAAAGAATGGATGGGGGACAATATTAGCAGGACTGAATATTACCACGGACTTCTGGTATAATGTGGGATAACTGCTTGCATTATTGGAGAGGCCATCATTCTGGGTCAGTAAGATTTAGGAGGAAGGATATTCCCATGGTTAAAGTACTCAGCTGTGACTCAAGATCTGATTTTTTTTTTTTTTTTTATTTCTGCCTGTGCCACAGTCCCCCTTGGTGACCTTGGCCCAATAATTTAATTTCTTTATCTCAGTTATCTGATCAGTAGGCTCTTTTGGTTCTTTGGAGGGCATGATCAGCATGTTTTGGCCTGCTTAGAGTCCTGGAGACAACAGATTAATCTGAAGTTGAGAAATCTGCTACAGCCCTGGAAGGACCTCCCCTTTCACCATCTCTACCAGTTTGGGGAGTGAGGGAAGTACACCAAGAGGAGATCTAAGCAAATGTTGACTGGGACTGTAGCTCTGGGGCCTACAGCTGCCAATGATGTGATATATCTTTAGTTATAAGCAGCTGTGAACCTGCTGTGCTCCAAATGAGTGGAGGGGGGAAGGGGATAAAGGAGAATTCCACAACCACTTCCTTCCCCTTAAGAATCTGTGGGAGGGTCTGGATCTGAACTGTTTCAAAGCCTGCGCATGATTTGGATCTAAGATTTAGTTCGCCGGTTGTACAGACAGGGTTCAACCGCCAAATGTTCCAGAATTACAGGAGTGTTTGGATCTGGAGTTTTGTTTTGATCCTATTTTTGACACAATTATCAAACTACAGCATGTAGGTACTTTGAGGGGGAGGGTATGGAAAAAAGCACAAAGGATTCTGAAATATGAGGCAAGGGAGAGAAAAGCTTGAGGTATTGGTAAAATAAACAATCTGAAAGGCCACTCCTGAAATCGTGTATCCTGCAAAGATGTACACAAGACATCATCACTGGTCCAGAATGCATTTGAAGTTTTGTGGTTTTATGTAGGCATGATTTTGAGGATCACGGCATTGCACGTTCCCTTGTCAGTTAAAGTGTCTTTTTCTTTCCCTCTACTGTGCACAGACAGCATTTTCCATGGAAATGAAGAAACATTCTATTGTAGATCTCAGACCAGCTTGGACAGGTGTCCAGTGGACTTCAGCTACTTAAATGGTAATGGGCCAAATGGCAGTATGTGCAGCGCCCACAGCATGAACTCCCTCAACCGTTCACAGAACTTTGTCCAGGCGTCTCCAATGTCCTCCAATCTCAGCATCCCAGGAAGTGATATCATGAGGGCAGACTATATCCCCAGCCATAGACACAGTGCAATCATAGTGCCATCCTACAGGCCAACACCAGACTATGAAACTGTTATGAGGCAAATGAAGAGAGGGGTTATTCACATGGATAGCCAAAGTCAGTCTTTAAGAAACCTCAATATTGGAAACACACATGCATACAACCAGCCAGAAGATCTGGTTTACAGCCAACCTGAGATTCGAGAGAGACATCCCTATACTGTTCCCTATGGACCGCACGGCAGTTATAACAAACCCGTTGCCCCATCTGACCAAATGAACCCTAATAATGCTGTGCAGAATAAGACAGCAGCTAGTGCCATATCCCACACTGTTAGCACACCAGAACTAACTAACATGCAGCTGCAGAGCAGTCAAAGCTATAGTACTGCCCATATGTTAAAGAACTATCTCTTTAGGCCACCACCTCCATATCCATGTCCGCGTCCTGCCACCAGCACGCCTGACCTAGCAAGCCACCGTCATAAATATGTCAGTGGCAGTAGCCCTGATTTGGTTACTCGGAAGGTCCAGCTCTCAGTGAAGACATTCCAAGAGGACAGCTTGCCCGTGGTTCATCAGTCTCTCCAGGAGGTTAGTGAGCCCCTCCTGGCAGTCAAACATCATGCAGCTTTAAACAAGCGCCATAGTTTGGAGGTCATCAGCAACATGGTACGTGGTATAGAAGCTATGGCATTAAAGACTTTAAATGCCCCTCTGCCACGTAGAAACACCTTGCGAGAGCAGGTGCAGCCAGGAGAGGCAATGGGTAACATGCGTTTCAGCAGCCCCCTTGTTACCATCACAAGAAGACGTTATCCACTGCCACAATGCTGATACACAGCAGTGAAAGCGAAGAGGAAGGAGAAGCTGCAGAGTCTGTGTCACAGATAGCACCACTCCATGAAAATGTGGAATATAGTGCTCAGTTGCAAGCTGCTTTGGCTAGAATACCAAACAAACCTCCTCCTGAGTATCCTGGACCAAGGAAAAGTGTTAGCAATGGAGCCCTGAGGCAGGACCAAGCAAGCATTTCAGTGGCTGTAGCTAGGGCCAAGGCCATGAGGCCAGGGCCTACCAAGGCCATTAGTGTGTCTCGAACTGATCAAATGTCAATAAACGGGTCCTCACTTGGACCCTCTATCTCAGAGCCTGATCTCACCAGTGTAAAAGAGAGGGTCAAGAAAGAACCAGTGAAGGAAAGGCCTGTGTCCGAAATGTTTTCTATCGAGGACAGCATTATAGAAAGAGAAATGATGATGAGGGTAAGTATCTTTCTCTAATGCAGAAGTTTCTTTGAACAAAGGAAGCAACCTGGGGTTTTTTTTTTTAATATCCAAAAATACAAATTGAAAAATGTTATATCCCTGAAAAATGAGGAATGTAAAACAGCCTTATGGGGGGAGAAAAAGAGTTTTTGACAATCGTAGGATTGGCTGAAAGCTAAGAGTGAGTGAAAAATAAGGGGCCTGATTCTCCATTGCCTGACTGCTTGTGCAGTCATTTGATCCTGTGTAGTTTGGATGGGTTTGAAGTGCCATCACAACGTCAGTTTTCAGATGAATGTACCAGCTCACAACTCTGTTAATGAATTATGCACATACCTGGTGAGCACAGTGTTTTAGGAGATTAAACTGGCAAGAGTGACTAACTGTGAAATACTGTTTTTTTTAACAACTTGAGTTAGACATCCTGCAATAGACATGCCTTTTTGAAGATACATATCATCAAATTTCCCATCTCTTCTGTTTGTAGTAGAAATACATAATATGTTTCCTAAAATATAATATAATAAATGTACATATACAAAGCCTTGTCTTTCATAGACCTAAATGATAGCCATGAGGGTATCAAAATATAAAGACTTAGTCATGTGCTTAACTTTAGAGACCGAATAGTCCTATTGTAGTCGAGTTAAACTAGTGCATATTTCTTTTTCGGGATGGGCCTGAAAGCAGAAGAAACATTGAATCCATGTATATTAGTGTGATGTCTAAGTGATCTGGGGGTAGTTAGAAAATAATACTAGTTTTGCCATTAATATTCGTCATGGCAAGACTATTAGTAAAGAAAATCCTATGGGATTTTTCAAGCTTGTTTAGAAAGTTGCCACTTTGTTGTTGCTGATTTTTGAATTTGAAGTAATGATTTAGAATAAGCGTGAATAAAATTGCTAGCCTGAAAGTTGATAAGCTTTCTGTTTCCTTTGAGTTCTGCTAGAAGAAATGCAATCTCTCATTCTGAAAAGAGAATGGATCTCTCATTCTGAAAACTGTCAATTCTAGATCATTGGTTCTGATTCTTGGAGTCAAGCTCTCAAGATAGATCACAAAGCTGTATGTTAGCGGTTATGTTATTCCCTACAGAATCTAAGCTTTTATTTAACTCGAAAAAGGTATTTCTAACCTTTTAGCTTGCAAAATATAATCTCTCACATATAAACACTGCAGTGGTAAGGCTTATTAAATGGATAGCATCCCAGAAGCTACAGACAGCCTAAGGAATTCAAAACAAACTAGTGAGTGAATGAGTAAGTTAGTTAGTTACAGCATTTTGGACAGAACCAAAGAAGCACAAAGGATTGTGAGACTGGACACACAGGATTCTAGAATGAGAGGCAAGGTAGAGGAAAACTTTGTGGTTTTGGGGCCAAGAGTGGTAAAATAATCTAAGAAACTTTGTTCTGGATAAACAGTGAGAAGTCCTGTGGCACCTTATAGACTAACGGATTTATTGGAGCATAAGCTTTCGTGGGCAAAGACCCACTTCATCAGATGCATCTAACGAAATGGGTCTTTGTCCACGAAAGCTTATGCTCCAATAAATCCGTTAGTCTATAAGGTGCCACAGGACTTCTCGTTGTTTATGCAGATTCAGACTAACACAGCTACCCCTCTGATTCTGGTTCTGGATAGTCATTCTGTACTAGATCAACTTTGTTCACCCCATCAACGCCCCATGTGCACATGTGCTGGAGTTGAAGCCTTTCACCTAGTAGATGTACCACCTCCCATTAGCCACAGAATGAAATTGGAATTCAAACTCTTCATATAGCAGTGTAATGTGCTGCATGAATATGATGTAAAGCAGGTTCTATGCATTGCATGGTATTAAAATCTGTTTTAAAACACCATCTAGTATATAGCAGGCACCATTATCAGCTGGGTATTTACCAGACATGCTAGTTTAAATTTCCCAAGCTATTTCCCATTCTAAACATTAAATAAACATCCCAGAAAAGATTAAATATGCAGTGGAGCAAGTAGTGCATATTTTTCATGGTTGTCTGCTGCAGTAAATGGTATTGAACACCGTTTAAAATCAGTATAGGATAGGTTTGCATAGCTACAGCCATCACAACATGTTGGGGTGATTCTTTATGTCCTGCTAGCAATTTACAATTACAGGAGGGATGCCTGAGATTTGTATTTGCAAGTCTTCTGCTAGCAAGTAAGCTATATTTTACCTTTGGATTGTTTCCTGAAATTAAAATTCTGTGCTCATGTAGAAGCAAGCCCCTGGGGAATAACAGGGAGAATGGAGGTGGTATTTGAATTTACTCGGTTAATGGTGATCATCTGCACTCCTTGGCCAGAGAGTTGCAAATTTTGAAGATTAAAAAAACATTCCAGTGTTTTACTGGCGTTATAGATAACAACACAGAGATGAAAACATGCCTTTTCTTGCCAAAAAGAATCTAGAGAAGCAGAAGATGGCAGGCCTGGAGGCCCAGAAGAGGCCCTTGATGTTGGCAGCATTAAATGGACTTTCAGTTGCTAGAGTTCCAGTGCCTGAGGATAGCCAGGATGAAGGAGCCAAGGTGCCAATGGATGAAAGGGTAAGAGAACGGTTCACAAAGTGCTGTTGATTCCATTGTTCCCAGCACTGTGAGTTTTTGAGATTTTAAGTACTGAAAACTGTTCCTCGTGGCCATATTGAGAGTACCATCCGTGATGGAATTCTTTGAATCGTATAGTTGCTGTTTTGGGAAGGCCAAAAATGATTGTAAGAGTTCCAAATACCCTTGTTGCCTTCTGAAGTCAGTGAAAATTGAAGATGCTTAACACCTCGAGGAGTGTTCAGCATCTCGCAGAATCAAACCCTAAATCTAAAATATCACACGTCTCCTCTTGACTAGCTAGACGGGTTGATGCAGCAGTCACTCTATGTGGTAACATAACTTGCTGAATGGTGAATGTAGGTTGCTGAGAAGAGTCCTGGTTGCATTCCAAGAGGTTTTGTATGTTCATAGACATGGCAATGTACAAATTAAGGCCATGTTTTGAAAATGTGGACCTAAATTCATTGCAAGAGTAGCTATTTTTAAAGAGAATTTTTTCAAAAATATACTTGAGATAAGGCCATGTATAGAAACAGAATTGTAACTAAAAGGTTTTTGCTTTATCTAGCACCAGAATCTGTAACTATAAAAAGGTATTAGAAACATAATGTTTTTTCTGATTTAACTCCATTGCAGTAGATTGACCTATGCATTCTCAGACAACATAAAACTGTGTGTATTAGACATTTAGCTCCAAGCAAAGGCCAAGAGCATCCCAGTGTGATTCATTATGTGCTGAGATGAAATACTGCTCTGTGATACTTTTGCCATAGTTCTGTCTAGAAAAATTAATTGATGATAGTATTCCTTTCCTTCTCTTAAATCACAGTGCAAAATCTTGAAGAGGAAGTTGGAAGAGGGAATGGTATTCACCGAATATGAGCAAATTCAAAAAAAAAAGGCAGATGGGATCTTCACCACTGCAGCATTGCCTGAAAATGCTGAGCGCAACCGCATCAGGGAAGTTGTTCCTTATGAGGAGAACAGAGTAGAACTGGTACCAACTAAAGAAAACAATACAGGCTACATAAATGCCTCACACATAAAGGTAGAGGCTTTTGAAGCATCACATGACACATAAAGAAATGTTAGGGGAGTGGGTATGTTGTTACAGGTATGAGCAGTGTTTTCTAACATAAGATGACTCGCAAAAAGTCAGGGTATGTCTACACTGCCACTCTAGTTCGAACTGGGGTGGCTAATGTAGGCATTCGAAGTTGCAAATGAAGCCCGGGATTTAAATATCCCGGGCTTCATTTGCATCTTGCCGGGCGCCGCCATTTTTAAATCCCCGTTAGTGCGGACTCCGTGCCCGCGGCTATACGCGGCACGGAGTAGGTAGTTCGAATTACGCTCTCTAATTCGAACTACCGGTACACTTCGTTCCACAAATTTAGAGAGCCTAATTCGAACTACCTACTCCGTGTAGACATACCCTCATTTACTCACATCTACCTAGGTTTCTTTAAAAAAAAAATGAGCAGGTGGTTTTACCTTGGGTGTGAGTGTCACTATATCACATAATTTCAGGGCTCACTGAACAATCATGAATTGATGTATTTATTACATTTCAGGGACCTACAGATCATTTTACAGAAATATCCTTATCTTTTGCAATGTTGTGTAGATTGGGCTGAATGCTTGCATTAAGCTGAAAGAGACACTCAGCGTATCTTAAATTTAACTAATGGGCTAGCGATACCCATATTATTTCAGAACAGTATAATTTCTATCAACCTGACACTGCAGGAGCAGCTGGGCTAGTGGGGATTTCCCCTCAGAGTGGGGAAGGGGAATAGGCAGGGCTCCAGCAGGGGAAACATTGGACTGCTTGGGAGAAGCACTGAATCATCAAAAGATCTGGACATAAGGTTCTATCTTAATTTTAAAATGTGTGTAAGTTGATTTTTAAAATGTAGGGGTATTAGCTGCGTGTTTGTCCTTTGAACAAATCAAGTACTCCAGTGGTCTGGTAGGAGAGACTCCTAAAGTAATGATTCTTACACTTAGACTAGCCATATGAGCATTCATATTACCTGGTTTCAAATGGGAGTTTTGTAAAAGGAAGTTACATTGCTGTTCAAAAATTTATTGTATGAATGGTTTAGATACTGACTCTATATGCTCCTTATATGCCTTGGCTACATCTAGACAGACATGATTTTCTGCAAATGCTTTTAACGGAAAAGTTTTCTGTTAAAAGCATTTGCGGAAAAGAGCATCTAGATTGGCACGGACGCTTTTCCGCAAAACAAATCTGAGCTGTCTACACTGGCCCATTTGTGCAAAAGGACTTTTGCCCGAACGGGAGCAACATAGTATTTCCGCAAGAAGCACTGATTTCAGAGAGTAGGAAGTCAGTGTTCTTGCAGAAATTCAAGCGGCCAGTGTAGACAGCTGGCAAGTTTTTCCGCAAGAGCAGCTGCTTTTGCGGAAAAACTTGCCAGTCTAGACACAGCCCTTCTGTATAGTCATTTTCAGCAGTAATCTGCCCAGAGTGTCTGCAAATTAATTTTTAGCTTCTCAGCTTCCGGTAACACTGTGTCGTGTAGTTCAGTAAGTTTAGTGATTGTATTTAAGACTTAAAATGTGTATTAACTGCTTAAAGGCTTGCAATAAATAAGAAAGGGAATGTCTATACTACCCCCCTAGTTCGAACTAGGGGGGGTAATGTAGTCACACGGAGTTGCAAATGAAGCCCGGGATTTGAATTTCCCGGTCTTCATTTGCATAAAGCCGGCCGGCGCCATTTTTAAATGCCGCCTAGTTCGGACCCCGTGCCGCGCGGCTACACGCGGCACGGACTAGCTAGTTCGGATTAGGCTTCCCAATCCAAACTAGCTGTACGCCTCGTGGAACAAGGTGTACAGCTAGTTTGGATTAGGAAGCCTAATCCGAACTAGCTAGTCCGTGCCGCGTGTAGCCGCGCGGCACGGGGTCCGAACTAGGCGGCATTTAAAAATGGCGCCGGCCGGCTTTATGCAAATGAAGACCGGGAAATTCAAATCCCGGGCTTCATTTGCAACTCCGTGTGACTACATTACCCCCCCTAGTTCGAACTAGGGGGGTAGTATAGACATTCCCTTTCTTATTTATTGCAAGCCTTTAAGCAGTTAATACACATTTTAAGTCTTAAATACAATCACTAAACTTATCAAGCCTTAGATACAATTAATACTGTTAATAAGCCTTGTTTACTTATAGTTCATCCGTGTGCAACCTTACAGTGCCAGACAGGAGGTTGTTGTCTCTTTAATTCCCATGCTTCAAGACTCCTTGCAAATGCCTCTGTCGGAATGAACGGTCTTTACTTCTAGTTACAACTAGCTGGATCTGTGGGGCAATCCTGCTCCCCACCTCCCAGCTGTGTTTTTGTGAAGCCTCTTTTTATAACAAAGCTGGACTTGGTCGTTACACCCGTAATTGCCACATACTTTTGTAGCTAAAGTTAGTTCCCTGTGCTTCAAACTATTACTATGCTGGCTTTTTTACCTTATCTTTCCAGGCACTAACATGCGCAGTTATCTTAAGTTTGCTTACCCCTTTGTGGCAGGCATTTCTGAGAAATGCAAGGTGTGTCCATTATTTTGCTCCCTGTTTCCGCAAGCTGTATCAAAATCTCAGAAAGTTTCAGCCATGCTTTTTATTTATGGTCACACTTAGCAGTTTCAGCATTTGCTCTTTATTTATGGTCAGGTCTTACCCAATGGCCTAGGGCAAGAGATTATGTTTCCACATCCTTGCTTTTCCTGGGGTCCACCTGTGTGCACAGTTGCACCAGGCTTTAGCAGGGCCTTGGGCTTACAGGGCTGTATGGTCAAGCCTTTGGTCAAGACTTTAGTCAAGGCAAGTCCGTTCGGACTACTCCACAAGCTGTTTCCACGCCACCTTTGTGATTACAGTCTGTCCTGATAGAAGTAGTGGTACTTACTTCATGTCAGGCTGGCACATGATATGACAGGGCTGTCTTCTCCCATTGTCAAAAATAAAATAGAAAAAAATCAAATTATAACAATAAATAAAACATTCTGTTCATTTACATCTTTATGGAAGAAGGGCCTCTAAGTCCAAAGAGAACAATTAGTCACAATTTCCAATATTAAATCCTGTTGATTCAAAACACCTTTCTAAACCAGGATGCTGGTGGATTATCACTTTTCTACTGGAGTCTTGGTGGGTAGCAGATACTGGTTTTGGGGCTCATCTGCCATTGCTAAAATGCTGGATTATTGAATCAATTTTTTTCATCTAAATTATGGGAGAAAAAAATTCTTACCAATATACATTATGTTCATAGGGTGCAATCAGCCAGAAAAATAATTTTCCCTAGACAGTGTTAAGAGTTCACATTTCATCTACTTTTGGACATGCACACATTTGAGAGCTAGAGAGCATGCAGGAACATGTACTAATGTTTTAGTATATGACACTCTGGCTCTCGCCAGCATTTTCTTGTTGAACTCCAAGTGGCTGTTAACAGAAGCCAAGCAGACAATCTTTTTGCTTAGATGGTGAAATCACAGCTGTGAAGTTTACCTCTGCAGTACAAAGTGTGTGCTTGCCGCCCAGGACTCCGTTTTTAATAACCTGCAGTCAGGGCATTAGAATGCAGTAAACATTCCAGGCAGCACTTTCCCTCCAGGCTATTTATGGTTCTATCATCTCAGATGCCAGGAGGCTGGATATTTGGACCAGAAGTCATCAGACAAAGAAAACTCCTATATCATTTTGATAAGATCCATGCCTGGAGGAGCATGACTCCCACCACTAAGTCTGTAGTCCCTGTGGCTTGTCAGCACTTCTCTGCTTAGTTAACACTAGACTATTTTATCAAGATGTTCAGCATGGTCTGAATACAGAGACAAAAATCAAAATTTAAGTTACGGCTTTAAAAAAAAATCTTATTTTTTGTTGCACGTATGGCATAATCCAAAGATCACTGAAAACAATGGGAAAAATTGTCATTGACTTCAGTGGACTTTGAATCAGGTTCACATGCAATCAAATTAAAGAAAGCACACACACACACACAGAGAGAGAGAGCGTGCCATCTATACAAATACAGGGCCAGATGTAGAACATGAGAGATTTCAATTGATTTTAAGCACTGTTCATCAATTATCTGGATTTGGCCCATAGACTGTACTTACTATACATATTGGAGAGTGGTGGATATGATTTAACAGGAACCAAAACAAGGGATTCAATTTAAGGGGAAAAACATTTTTTGAATATTAAAAAAAATACACTTACCACAATGAGAAGAGTTGTATTTATGTAAGTGCAAAAGCCAAAGATCTAAGTGTTGTGCTATTTCAGTATTAAGAGCTAAGCTGACAGTCCTTTTTAAAAATTTATATAAAGACTTAAATCTCAAGTATAGTATACACCCTGTTCTCTCACAGTTATTGATTGTTCTTTATAGCATTGGCTGCCTGATTCTTGATATTTATGATGCTGTCAGCACTTACCATATAAATCTTTTTCTGTGTGATTTATAATTTTGTCCATAAAAAGTTGTGTTCGGCTGAAATTTGGAATTAGCGGCCCCCGTGTAAGAAACAGGAAAAAATACATACATATACAGTATAAAAATAGTGTCAAAATAATGGGTTCACCTTATTTTATTTTTAAGCTGCTAAAAGTATTTTTAATTAGTTTAGTGACTTTAAATGTTCTTGTGTATTTCTTTTTACCTGTAGAATTGAAAAATAGCTTATATGTGGAAAAAAAGTGAAATTTAGTAGATGATATGTGTAAAAATCTGCCATTTTGCAAGTCCACAGTGTCGACCATGCCAGCCATTAGCCACATGTGGCTGTTTGGCCTGTTGAGTGTGGCTAGTTGGCTTGAACAATGTAGGTAGTTGGCCATTTAAGTGTGGCTAGTTCACTGTAGTGGCCACGATAGTGGCTACTGCTTTGGAACTGGTTGGACACCACAGATAAGTCTTTTAGAATATTTACTTCATAGGAGGATAACAAATAATCTGTTTTAAATGGAAATTTTCAAAGTGAGCTATCAGTTCTTTGTAGGGTTGTGAATGGTTAGCCAGTAAGCCACACTCTTAACAGGTGAGGTTTACAGGTTCCAGAGAACTGGTGGGGGATGGAACAGCTTCCTGCCAGCTGCAGACAGGAGGTTGCTCCAGCCCTGCAGGGTCTGTCCGGAGCAGGCCCTGTCAGCTGCAGGCAGGCCCAGGTATGCCGCAGGCAGAGGCACTCTAGACTGGCCAGAGCAGTCCCTGTCCATGGCAGGAGGGACCACTCCATCTTGGTTCAGCTGCTCCCCTCCCCCCAGGCAACCTCCTTTGAATCAGTTAACTGGTTAAACAATCCCTAGTTTGTTGTCATTATTGCACAGTATAGAGCATGTATGTCTTGTTTCATTTGTATGTTGCAGGTTAGAAAGACCAAATGTATTTTTGCAAGATCTGTTGGGTCTATTACATGTACTAGGAAAGGATTTCCATAATTTATTCTTGAAAAACTGTTACATGCACCATATTTATTATAGGACAGATTGCAACCACTGAACTGAAAATACAAATGGGTAGAGGAAGAGAAATTCAAGGCAAATTCTGACATTCAGTGTGTTACATGTGGGTGTCTTTTACCCTGGCCCTTGTGCTCAGAGAGAGGATAAGAGACGAGTCATGCTCCCAAGGATTAATTTTTTGCTGGTATGCTATGGGATGGATTAGTGTGGAAATTTAAGAATAAAATGTTTTCTTACATATAATTACAGTTAAAATACAGTATTAGAACAGCCACTATGGAAAAGATTGGCATTCATTGTATTTTTTTTGACTCCTAGGTTACTGTAGGTGGAGAGGAATGGCACTATATAGCCACACAAGGGCCTCTGTCACACACATGCCATGACTTCTGGCAGATGGTGTGGGAACAGGGGGTGAATGTGATAGCCATGGTCACAGCCGAAGAGGTATGTAAAGTTACACAGAACATTTTTTCCTAAATGTGGGCAACTCTACCATTGTCACTGCTTTCCTTTCCAATAATCTGTTTTTCTTGAGCAGCTTTTTATTTTCTCCTTTTTGTTCCCTTGAACTTGTCTGGAGATAATCTGCGTCTGTGACCTTGTCTTTTATAGCTCTCTAGCATTTAGCTTGCCATTTACTAAAATAAAAAATAACCACCACCACGCTTCAGTTCAGTTGCAAGACTTTGATTTGCCAAACAAAGCAAAGATGTTTCCATTGGAATCTTGGTTGAAATCATATTCATCCCTATCCTATCCAAGGCCAGCTCTGCATGCCATCATTCTTATCACTGAAAAGAGACCAGAAGCTGTTGTTCCTGGAAAAGTGTCCATTTAAAAAATATTTTTATTCCTCTGCCAAGCAAAATAGTTATTTTTATTGTAATCCAAGATCCGTGTGCTCGGTTATAAAAAAATGGCACGTTGCCAACTAACACTAGATCTAGCTTTGAGCCCTTCTGCCTATTAGGACATCAGAATTACAATACAGATTGAACCTCTGTAGTCTGGCACCTTCCGGATCTGACCGGCACCGAACCAGAGAATTTGCCAAACCAGAGGAGGTCAGTATTGTATAGCAGCTTGACCAGCACTTGCCCTGCTTGCTGGGCTCTTAAAAAGACACTTAAGGGTAAATTAGAGCTAAATAACAACACAGAACACTGAGAGTCAGAACTGGTGGCTGTAAACAAACTTTATGGGACTGTGAGAAACTTGGCCACACCCATTATAAGTGGACATCCGGATAACTAAAATCATGCCGGACCATGGATGATGTTGGACTAGAGAGGTTCAACCTCTATCACATTCACCCAGTGTTTTGACTAGTCTACTATTGCAGACCAGTACCAGATGGTCAGGTTAGGAGACACAAAACCTCTTAAAAGACAGCTATGAAATAATTTGCCTCTGGGGAAGTTTGTTCCTCACCTGTTATAATCAGAAGTTGACTTATACCCTGAAGGATGAGAGTTTATTCATCCTTAGATTTGTTTTAATTTCTTCAGTGTGACTGTGGATGTTCTCTTTACCCATATCAACCCTTCTAAACTCTTGGACTAAATTTTATTTAATGTCATTGAGATTCTACAGGTTCAATATGCATTTTGGATTTTACATTTAATGCCATTCAGATTTATGGGAAGCACTTGTTCTGCTCTTGCGAGACAAGACAAATAGGAGGACACAGTTCAGTGCACAAGTGGTTCTGTTCATGAGAATTTAATTGTGAGACTGCGAGAATAATGATACTAATATTTTTGCTTTTGGGTTCAGGAAGGAGGAAGAAGCAAGAGTCATCGCTACTGGCCTAAACTGGGCTCAAAGCACAGCTCGGCCACTTACGGGAAGTTTAAAGTGACAACAAAGTTCCGCACGGATTCTGGTTGCTATGCTACCACAGGGCTAAAGGTCAAGCATCTTTTGTCTGGGCAGGAGAAGACAGTGTGGCACTTGCAATATACTGACTGGCCAGATCATGGCTGTCCAGAAGAAGTCCAAGGCTTTTTATGTAAGATTCCTTAATTAATGTGCTCATCTAAGGTTAAGGACCATTTTTAAGAATTGAGGGGGATGCTGCACACTTTCTGTTGGCTGAGCTCACTGCATATGCGAAGGGCTTCTGGCATTCCTCCATTCCACTCCATAAGCTCCTCGTATGCCATCTTCCTATCCCCTGAATTTCAGGGGCTCCCTGTAATTTCTTCACTACCCATTGCCAGTGGTGCGCCTCTCCCCTCCATTTCCACTTCACTCCTCTCTCAGGATTTGTGTACCCTTCTCATTCCATGGTCCCCCATTCTCTCCCTCAAGACAGGAACTCTGTGTGCACCTCCTCCCCCATGCTTTCCTTTTTCCCAGGCCTCCGTCTGGCCCCTTCCCTCCTATGGTAAGCACTGTGTGTAATCCCTGCATCTCTAACAGGGTACCCAATTTCTCCTATTGGGTTCTGTGCTACCCCATTCCTCCTGCCCCCTTTTCCTGGAGGATATTTGGAGGATAGCTGGAAGATATTAAACTGTACTGGGAAAATGAGAAGAGATGAGATGGATTGTTATTCTTCTGGAAGGTGTCAATGGGTGTCATCAACTGGCTGTTATCTTTATGCATCTCCCATTTTCCCCCTGCCAGTTTTCCATTTCCCTCCATAACCAATAGGGTTCTAGCCATAAATGCATAAACATTCCCTGACATTTTGAAATTCGCTGGGCATGGTGCTCAAAAGTTACCATGTTAAATGTAGATCAGTTCCTAAATATCATCAAGTTGAGTGTAAGGCCTTCACAATCTCTCCAACCGAGGAGGAGATCACATAGGGGAGATAGTCTTCTTGAAGTGCTTGCTCATGTCCATTCCAAATTAGGTATGTGCTGGAAGGCTTTCCCTTAGAAGTTCTCATAGGGAATTGGCTCTTGCTCCCTTTGGAGTGACACCTGTATGGCTGCCATCCCTCCTCCCCCATCCTCCATTCCTTACTGCTGGTGACAGTGCACGGAATGTTCCCTTGCTTCAGTAATTCTCCTTTTACAATTAGTCACTCTGAACCTTCAGTTGTAAACAGTTTTTAGTAACGTGGAGTTTCCTTTGTTACATTATTAGATAGTAAGTGTCCCTGTTGAGACTTAGCCTCAGGTTGGGGCATGCCCTGATCCGAGGGTTTTAAAAACTGTGACTAGTGTAGACAGCCTATGCTGATCAGTGACCCCCATTAATGTCAATGATATTGTTCCATTAATATTTGCCAGGCTTGCATAGTGTTCCTCTCGCAGCTGTCTGGCCATATGGTACAGGTTGAACCTCTCTGGTCTGGCCGGATCACAGATGTTACTGGTCCAGGAGATCAGAGATTCCCCAGGAGACCAGCATCAGGGAACGGAGCTGGCAGCCGGGGCTGGCTACAGAGCCCAGAGCCTTGTGGAGCCCATTGGCCCTGGACTGGCGGCAGAGCCTGGAAGCAGCAGAGCCCCCCGGTGGCCCCAAGGCTGTCCACAGAGCCTGGTGGGGCAGCCAAGCCCTAAGTAAAATGCACTCTTCTTGTATTGAACTGCAAGAATATGCAAAATATGGAATTTTCAGCTTTGCTAAGCAAGTGACTGAGGGTACTGGGGGTTAGCAATGGAGTTTTTACCCACTGCTTTAAGTTGGGCTACTCTATTTCTCCTTGTAGTTCCAAGCTTTTTTTTTAAAAAAAAAGATGATTCTTCCAACATTCTACCCAGCAATTGGGAAACTGTAAAAATTGGAACCGTAGCTATTCATAGAGGGTATGATTCTCTATTATTGGAATAATGTTCTCCTGCCAAAATAGGTGTAAAATGCCACCTCTCTGATTTCAACCACATTGTATACCCAGTTTGCACTAGTGGGAAGGACATCATATGGTGCAGTGCAATGTTGAATTAGGCCCAGAAACTTAATTTCCATTATTCATTTTATTCCTGCTAGAATAACCTTTGGAGGGACCAATATTTAGGTCAGAACCTGAGTGTCATGGTTGCTATTGTGTTTTCCCAACCTGCTGAGCCACTAGCATGTCAGAGAAGTTTATACTTTAACAAACCAAAAAACTCTACTATTTTGGAGAGCTTTACAGCCAGGCGAAAGCTCCTTATACTTTGCAGTCATGATTTCAGGAAAGCCACAGAGAATTGTTTAAAAAAAAAGTCCCAATTCTTCCTGAAAGACGAACCCCAAAAATTAGAGCCAGGGTTGACATTCTCACTCAATCTGCAAAGGGAAGGAAAGAAAAGGGCAGATGGATGTTCAGTTCCCATCCGCTACTGGCTCTGGCAGGTGGTAGTTTCTAGGGGACCTAGCTGTTGTTTTTGATCCCAGAATGTTAATAGCAGGAATTGCTGTAAGTAATGTCTAGAATCATCTGCTTCAGGGAACTGGGGATTTACAGAGGGGAAAACAGAATTTAATTTTTTAAAAATAACTATTTAATTTAAGGGACCAAACTCCCAAGTAATAATTGATACCCAGCTGGTACTCCTTGGATTCAGGGCTGTTCAGTGCACAGTAGCCAAATAATTAGTGTCTTGTAGGAACTGTAAATTATTGTCACTTAAAAGAAAATTGACTTTCTCATACATTTTTTAACTTTTATGTGAAGCCATATAGAATTTTACAGCATAATTTGCATTTTTTCTTACAGCCTATTTGGAGGAGATACAGTCAGTACGTCGCCATACGAACAGTGTGTTAGATGCTAGCAACAATTGCAATCCGCCAATTGTAGTTCACTGCAGTGCAGGTGTGGGGAGGACAGGGGTGGTTATTCTAACAGAACTGATGATTGGCTGCCTGGAGCATAATGAAGTAAGTAAACTTCCCCCTTAATAATTGCTTTTCTCTGAATAATTTTTTACATTTGTGTGGGGGAAATCTAGTCATAAAATATCATCCATTGCATTAGCGTACCCAGACACAGTGAGCAGAGATTTATCACCAACTTCTCTATAGCTTGGCCATTATGTATGTATGTATTTGTTTTTATTATTTTAATACAGCACTGCTGAGATTGGACACTTTCCTCAAAAAGTTTGCAGTCTAAATTAAGATGTGTCTGTGTCTTAATTAATCAATCTGGAAACAGAACTGTGTAAAAAAAGCAGCTTAAGAGCCACTGGGGTAGTGAGCTGGCTTCTATACTGTTTTGGACAATTGATTTAATTCCCGAGCTTCTATTGTCAGCATCTCTTTGCTCGCTGTCTCTCTCTCTCTCTCTCTCTCTTTCTCTCTGGCTTCCACAATGGAACAAAGCTCAATTGTGAGTCAAAAAAATAGGAAAATAAGATAGATGGGCCACAGCCATTGTTATGAGACCTGTTTCACAGACTGGCCCTGTGACGTAGTGGGGGTACCTGGCTGGTTTCTAGGCTGCTGGCTCTGGGGTAACCCCCACTGGCTGCCGTGGGTACCACGACCCAGCAAAACAGGATGAGTCACTATGCAAACCAGTATGGCCAGACACCCCCCATGGAGAGGAACAAAGGAAGGTGGAGGCTGCCCTGGCTGGGGGGCAGGGCTGGAAGAGAGTGAGTTAGTTGCTGTCTGGAAGCATGGAGGAGACAGCCTAGGGAAAGGGGCTGGAGTTTAGGGGCCCAGTCTCCCCCATCTCAAGGGGGCCTGAGGCATCCTAGCCCAGCTCTGTGACCAGATTCCATCTGTGCTGTGCTGTATCCTGGAGAGGCAATAAACTTCCTCTATTCCACCGGCTGGCGCAGTCTGTTTGTGCCATTTCGGGGTGCAGGAGACGGGGGACCCCCAACGCGCCGTCACAGGCCCGATGTTAGAGAATCAACCACATAAGAATTCTAGTATGTACCTACTTGTTCTGCTGTGTCCTTTGTCACTGGGGAACAATGCAGCATAAACACTTAGGGTACGTCTAGACTACATGCCTCTGTCGCCAGAGGCATGTAGATTAGGCTACCCGACAGAGTAAAATGAAGCGGCGATTTAAATAATCCTCATCCCAGGAGGCATACCTGGGTTGTCGACAACTCCCTTTGATGTCGGCAGGGGAGCGTCCAGACTAGTGCGCTGAGCCGACACACAGCTGGCCAGCTGTTTGTCGGCTCAACGCGGCAGCCATGTAAATTTAAATGAAGCGGCGATTATTTAAATCGCCGCTTCATTTTACTCTGTCGGGTAGCCTAATCTACATGCCTCTGGCGACAGAGGCATGTAATCTAGACGTACCCTTTGTCCTGAAGAATGTATGATAATGTAGAGTGCCAACAGGATGTAAACAGCTGTTGAAATTAGGGATGTTAGTGTTTAACCATATTCACCGCTAAACATTTAACCTTCCAGCCACTACCAGGAGTCCATGTTTAAAGCAAAGCATTTAACCATGGAATTCAATCAGTTACACGGTTAGTGATTTTTTTGACTTTTTACATCCCTAGTTGAAATGAAGGGGCTTCCTTGAGTGAACTGCTTGGAGACTTTAATGCATTGGATAGTTAGAAAAGGTAACTGAATGCAGCAGATGCTACATTAGAGACTTTATCCGTGTGTTGAAATGGAAAATCTGATACTGATGTGGGGGGCGGGGGGAGTAACGACAGAGAAGTGAAGTGACACTTTTCATTCGAGAATGTGTCCTGCCTAGCACAGAAGGGAGGGTGCCAGTGGACTTTGCTCCCCTTCATTTGTTGGGCACCATGTACTTTTCCCTCCCTCTTCACCAGCCTTTGGAAAATAATGGGATGGGGGGATTGTTGGCTAGTCACTCAAATTAAAAGGAAATGGCTGGCCTTGTGGCACTACAGCAGCTCGACACAGCAGTTGCCAGGTGGCCTCTAGAGACATGGGATACATTTACTCTTATGTAACCGTTCTGACTGCAGCTGGGCTACACCAAGGCTGAATTTGGTCCTGAATATTTTAGGAGCGCAGTGTCAACTTTTTTTTTTGGGTGGGAGGGTAAAACTTTGCATTGCTCTTCATTCAGCCTAATCGGACTTCCCCACACACACCCTGACAGAGAGAGAGATGCCAGCTGAGGTCTGACTCATGGCTTTTGAGCTAGCTCTAGAGATAATATGCTCAGTTGTTTGTTGAGAAGCGGCATTTCAAATCACTCTGTAGCAACCCCCTGCATACTAGTGGTGCCATAGACAAATATTAAACAACAATCATGCACCCCCTTTGGCCATCTTGGTGTGTCTTCAGCTTTGACAGGCACCTCTTCTGTGAGCAGAATAGTTTGGCATGAGTCTGAGCCTTTGAAAATGGAGCTCATAAAACGTTTGGGTGTGGGGATGGTCCTCAGGGCTCTGAGGAATGCTCAGCAAGGCACCAAGGGAATATAGAGCTCTCGGGAAGGGGAAGATTTTCTCTATTGACTTTAATTAAACTCTCCTTTCTCTGGATTATTGTATTAAAGCCAGATTTTAAGAGTTTTTGTTTTTTTTCTCAAGACCTGGTAACTTAAGAGGGGAGAGAGTTATCTAGCTTTACAGTAAATGAGTAGTTTTGTTTTGTTTCTTTCTCCCTAGATGAGCCATTTATTGTCAAGAGAAACAGGTTGGATATTCTAGTGATTATCGCATACTGTACAGATAAAATATTTTGTCATATACAAAAACATTCTTCTTCTTTGAGCAATGTCCCTGTGGGTGCTCCACATTAGGACAGTGCGCTGTCACCGAGCCTCAGAGCGGAGATTTCATAGCAGTGTCCCTGCGGCCGCGTGCTATTAGGCTGCAGGCATCACGCATGCATGAGCCCCCCTCTCTCCTCCCACTCCCAGTTCCTTCTCTACCCCGAAACCACGGCTTAGGAAGGCCAGGATCCCGAAGTAAAGGGAGGAAGGGAGGGTTGTGGAGTGCCCACGGGGACACTCATCTTGAAGAACGTTAGTTACTATTGAGGTGAGTAGCCTCCTCTTCCCAATTGTAAATGAGTTGAACTTTTTTCTATTTGTTTTGGAGCAGATTTATTTCTATTGACTCTGAAATAAAACTGCCTGTTTCTTTAGACTCTATATAGTACCTCCTTAAAGCGCCTTAACGCCTTGGGAATAGGGAATTTCTCACAGCACACCTTGGTGCCTTGGTAAATGGAGAAGCTGTTATTCCCCATTTTCCAGATGAGGAAACTGACACACAAAGTTTAAACATACCTGAATCTAACACTGGCCTGGCACTGGAACGTGAGTCTGTGACTCTTGCTGCAATGACCCTTATGTGAGAAAGATGTTTGTTGTATGGAAGGCAAAGCTTTTAATTCTGTGACTTACTAAGTATCATCTTTACAAAGCATTGACAGATGCTATGGTGGGTTTGAATCCAGAGATCCCCCATTCCTGGCATAAAGTGGTTAACTAAAGCTCTCCTGAGACAGATGGGGGACAGCCTGTTGCACATCCTTACAAGGGCAACAATAAGTTAGATGTGTGTGATAGGCTTAGTGTTATACACACACAAAATAGTTCTGAGATGAATCAAAGCCTGACCTGTGTTGTGATAACACAGAAAGTGACTGATCACAAAATGGTATTAGCCCAGTAGAAATCAACAGCTTGTCAGATGCTGAGTCTGGAACTTGGATTCTACAGGTCCAGACTGGCTTGCTGCCTCTTTTTGGTTTTGTCACTGTAGAGGCAAAGTCAAGCTCTGACATGGCTTATGTGACCTAATTGCTTTTCTAACCATCAGATTCCATGTTGAGGCATTATGTAGTTTAGCTGTGTAAAATAAACAGGTGCTATGCTCTCAGCTGCAGAGTTGAAAATAAAATGAAAATTCACATAATAATTTCTTCACTTCTTAGTACTTATGTGCCCTCTATAACTACCTTCTGGCTAGGGTTGCCAACCTTCCAGGTTTGTCCTGGAGTCTCAGGAATTAAGGTTAATCTTTAATTAAGGTTGTCATGTGACACAACCCCTAGGAATATGGCCAACCAAAATTGGCCATCCTATCTCTCGTAACAGTTCGTTTGCAGAACAGCACAAATATAGCTCTTCCTTTAAAGATCTGATTGTGTTCTCTGCAAACTGCCCAGCTGGGCAGCAATCTTGTATCTACAGTGCATGTGTTATCTCCGCTGTGGTGGCTCCAGCAGGGACGTTGTGTGGCCCTCTAAGAATCTATTGTGCTCACCCCTCTCTCACCCGTGACAGAACTTGTCAGGTCCACTGCTGGTGGAGTGGAAGCATCTCTGGTCTCGGAGACACACTGGCAGAGAGCAGGTAGTGGAGCTCTGGGGTGCCCCTGGTGCCACAGGAGCTTAGCTGAGGGGCCTGACTGGACTCTGCAGTGCACTCACGTGTACGTCCCTGCACACACACGCAGTACCCTTTTTGTACACTTCTCACCACACCCACAGCCCCCCTGCACACCCACACGCAAACCTCCCATACACATCCCTCTCTTTCAGTCAGTTAACTACTCTTGGGGAATGGTTTTCCAACCAGTTTTGCACCATTGGACAGTAACATCCTCTAGGTTGCATTTCCCTAATTTGTTTCTGAGAGGGTCATATGATACTATACTTTTAATTCCAGAAGCACAAGTTGCAACTAACAAAATCTGACTGCAGTCAGCAGCATTATGACAATTGGGTCTGGGCAAAAGGGGTAGAGATATAGATAAGCTGGAAGAACATGAGTGGTATCTTGCAGTGATCAGATCTGGGTGCAGTTTTATTCAGTATCTTCATCTATGATTTAGAAAATGGCATGGTGAGTACACTTACTAAGTTTGCAAATGATACCAAGCTGGGAGGAGTTGCAAGTGCTTTGAAGGATTGGATTAAAATTCAAAATGATCTGGACAAACTAGAGAAATGGTCTGAGGTAAACAGAATGAAGTTTAATAAGGACAAATGCAAAGTACTCCACTTAGGAAGGAACAATCCGTTTCACACATACAGAATGGGAAGTGATTGTCTAGGAAGGAGTCCTGCAGAAAGAGATCTAGGGGTCATAGTGGACCACAAACTAAATATGAGTGAACAGTGTAACACTTGCAAAGAAAGCAAACATCAAGCAAATGTGGATTAGCAGGAGTGTCATAAGCAGGATATGAGAAGTCATTCTTCCATTGTACTCTGCGCTGATTAAGCCTCTGCTGGAGAATGGTATCCAGCTCTGGGTGTCATATTTAAGGAAAGATGTGAAGAAACTGGAGAAGGTCCAGAGAAGAGCAACAAAAATTATTAAAGGTCTAGAGAACATGAGCTATGAGCAGGATTGAAAGAATTGAGTATGTTTAATCTGGTAAAGAGAAGATTGAGAAAGGACAGGATGACAGTTTTCAAGTACATAGAAGGTTGTTACAAGGAGGAGTGAGAAGAATTATTCTTATTAACTTCTGAGGATAGGTCAAGAAGCAATGGGCTTAAATTTCAGCAAGGGAGGTTTAGGTTGGACATTAGGAAAAAATTCCTAACTGTCAGGGTAGTTAAACACTGGAATAAATTGTCCAGGTTGTGGAATCTCCATGACTGGAGATAAACACCTTTCAGTAACAGCCTCGATAAAACTTAGTCTTGCCCTAAGTGGATGGCTGATGGGAGCTGACCCAATAAATTAAATTTTGATTATTTAAATTATCCATATTCCCAGCATATGACTTGTTAGGTCACATGACAAAATGGGTTAATTTTTGACAAGCAGAGTGTGGCTTTAGTTAGCAAGAAGCCTCCAGGCAGAGCCAGATGAGTACCCAGACATTTGAAGAGGCTGTTCAATTCAGTTTCCTGAATAACCTTTTACTACACACTCCCATCAGTGGTACAATATGAGATAACAGAGATACACCAGGGTGACGTCTAGACTGGCATGATTTTCCGCAAATGCTTTTAATGGAAAAGTTTTCCGTTAAAAGCATTTGCGGAAAAGAGCGTCTAGATTGGCATGGATGCTTTTCCGGAAAAGCATCCGTGGCCAGTCTAGATGCGCTTTTGTGCAAAAAAGCCCCGATCGCCATTTTCGCGATCGGGGCTTTTTTGCACAAAACAAATCTGAGCTGTCTACACTGGCCCTTTTGTGCAAAAGCTTTGCACAAAAGGACTTTTGCCCGAACAGGAGCAGCATAGTTTTTCCGCAAGAAGCACTGATTTCTGACAGTAGGAAGTCAGTGTTCTTGCCGAAATTCAAGTGGCCAGTGTAGACAGCTGGCAAGTTTTTCCGCAAGAGCAGCTGCTTTTGTAGAAAAACTTGCCAGTCTAGACACAGCCCAGATGTTTAGTATTAAACCCACTGAAGTAAGTGTTAAAACTGCTTTTTCCGAGTGTGTATTCCTTGCTGCAGTGTGAAAGGTAAGGCCAAAGCAAACTATGGTCATTCACTATAAATGAGTTCTATTTCTTCTTTCCTTACACTTAGTCAACAGAGGGTTCTGGTGACCTTTGGTTTAATTAACACAAACCTCACTCTTTGTCATGTTGCTTTGCAGAAAATGGATGTTCCAGTGATGCTAAGACAGCTACGGGAGCAGCGAATGTTTATGATTCAGACTATCGCTCAGTACAAATTTGTCTATCGAGTGCTCATCCAATTCCTACAAAATTCTAGACTTATTTAATCTCTTTAGAGGTCCCAGATGCAGTATTGTGGATTTGGCCTAACCTAACTGGCAAGACAGACCTGTTCTTCGACAGCACGTCTTTTATCATGGTGTGCAAATATTGCACTTGCTTAAGTGGCCTCAAAAGTAAGAAGCCCTTGTTCTTCAATATAGAATACCACAAATTATTTTGTACACCGTAATTTATTTTTTGTGGAATAACTTTTGTAAATTTCTTGAACTTGTAAAACTTGTGGTTACATTTGAATTGACATGACTGATTTTTATTGTCGGGTATCCATAGGGAAGGTGATCCTCTGAAAGGGTGTTCTGTATTGTGTTAAATGTTTTTTTTAAATGAACAATTCTTCAGACACTGGGGCTTTTTTTCCCCAATAAGAACATTTTAGAGACAGTTTTGTGGCTTTCATCATGAAAACAAGACCTGTTAAAAGTAAGTTAAGACTCTGTAATGGGCCAAAACTGATAAATACAGAGAAAATACAATGCAGAGAAGCCAATACATGCATCTGTAAATGAATGAATGGAAGGATGGAAGCATTACGAAGTAAGGGGTATTTCAGGGAGAGATGTTGGGAGTGTGGCAGTATCCTCTGCTTTGTAGTGGTTTCTGTCATATTCAGGTATAATGGGGGTGTTTTTAGTACCCCCACTATACAGCATTGCTGTAATCAGGTGTGCAGAGAGCTTAGATGTTCAAAATTTGGCAAGAATTTCCATTGCAGCTTAGTGCTTGACAAGAAGCCATATTACAGCTTCATGATGTTTGCTAGTATCACCATCCTTTGATCCCTTCCTAGATAAAAAGCTGTAGTACTCTTGCCAGGGCCCAGATCCCAACCACCTTTTAGTTAATGGGAGCCTTTCCATCAACCTTATTTTTGTGAGCACTTAGGGTATGTCTAGACTACATGGCTCTGTCGACAGAGCCATGTAAACTAGTTTACCCGACATAGTCAATGAAGCAGGGATTTAAATAATCCCCACTTCATTAAAATAAAAATGGCCGCTGCACTGTGCCGACAATCACTTGATCCGGCACAGCACGGGAGTCTAGACACGGATCGGTCAACAAGGGAAGCCTTTGTCGACCGCTCCCTTATGCCTCGTGAAACGAGGTTTACAGGAGCGGTCCACAAAGGCTTCCCTTGTTGACTGATCCACGTCTAGACTCCTGCGCTGTGCCGGATCAGCTGATTGTTGGCACAGTGTGGTGGCCATTTTTATTTTAATGAAGTGGGGATTATTTAAATCCCTGCTTCATTGACTATGTCGGGTAAACTAGTTTACATGGCTCTGTCGACAGAGCCATGTAGTCTAGACATACCCTAAGTGCTCACAAAAATCTAACCCTTTCCATTGTTGTCACGAGATCAGATCCCAGTCACTTTATTCAGGCAAAGTGTGTCAGTAAGATCTAGACATCTCATCTTCATTCTCAGAGTTTTGTTTTCTGCACAAATCATTGTTTCAGTCATTAGATGGTTTACTTCCTAGCCCTCTGTACAATGTTATAGTGATCTGTGCTCTCTTACCTATATCCCTTTGTTCTGTTTAATGGGCTAGCTGGGTAGCATTGACTCATAAAAAAACAAAGCCACCATATCTAAGAAAACTTGATGGGTCAAATTCAGTTCTGGGGTAATACACTAAGCTCAGGGGAACTGCATTTGCTTTAATCAGGTCTAAAATTTAGTCCCATGGGACTGAGAGCTGTGATCTTGTAATGGAGTATTCACAAGTGTATCCCCGGAAACAAAGTCCACATATGTACATCAGCTGCAAGATCAGGGCCCAAGCAAGCTTTGCTTGAAATACCAGAAAACACTAGAAAATCCAGCCATAAATGTGGTTTCAGTCAAGGGTTTGCTTTAAATGTATGCTAGAAAGAAATGGATGAAAACACGTTTAGGCTACGTCTAGACTGGCATGATTTTCCGGAAATGCTTTTAACGGAAAAGTTTTCCGTTAAAAGCATTTTTGGAACAGAGCGTCTAGATTGGCATGGATGCTTTTCCGCAAAAGCACTTTTTGCGGAAAAGTGTCCGTGCCAATCTAGACACGCTTTTCCGCAAAAAAGTCCCGATCGCCGTTTTTGCGATCGGGGCTTTTTTGCGGAAAAGAAATCTGAGCTGTCTACACTGGCCCCTTTGCGCAGAAGCTTTGCGCAAAAGGGACTTTTGCCTGAACGGGAGCAGCATAGTATTTCCGCAAAAACACTGACAATTTTACATGAGATTGTCAGTGCTTTTGCAGAAATTCAAGTGGCCAGTGTAGACAGCTGGCAAGTTTTTCCGGAAAAGCGGCTGATTTTCCGGAAAACTGGCCAGTCTAGACACAGCCTTAGAATCCCCCTATAGTCACTTGGCAATACGTTTGATGGGCCCATTTTCAGTTAGTTTTGAGCAGAAAAAAATTGAGCCTCAAATTTAAAAAGCCTGCTCAGGACCTTGCTCTTACCTGACCTAGCTTGTTTAATGTATAAAACTGGATGAATTTCTGCCCCTTTGCCCCAAAATGACACAAGTTACTGCTGTCACTAAAGCATTCTATTTCTTTATCCTGGGCAGCCCTGACTCATTGTATAGTGTCCACCTTTCTTCAGACCTGGATAGGTACATGGTGACTGTAGGTGGATTTAGAGCCGTGCTCCCTAAATCCTTATCTGGAAACATCCAGAGTCGTCCAGCAAGCATTCTGCTGTGTGTGTGTCAGCTTTATAGGAGAGACAGGATTAAGGTGAAACATTGCACTAAATAAGGTCCCCACCAGCTGCTGCTTTTTCAGAACTTGCCTTGCAGATATTGGCAGCCAAATGTAAGCTCCTTTATTTGTTCTGATTCAAGCTGTTTGCCAAGTCCACATAATTGTTTTAAACAAATGTTTAAAAGCTCACTCCTACAAGGTTCTGAGTGCCCTCAACTTTAGGTGGGAGTTCAGGACACACAAAGACCAGAACCTCAAAGGTATTTAGATACTAAACTCCGATTAGGCACCTCAATAAATACCTTTGAGGCTCCAGGTCTTAGAGCCTTACAGATGTTTTCTGTGCTGGTACCTTGGAATTTAGAGTAAACTACCGGAGTGAAGACATAAGGGCGAGAAAAGAAGACAGATTCTAAAAAAATCTAGTTAAATTATCTTGCTATTATGTTTAAGAATCAGTTGATTCTTCAGTCAACTTTAGTTTTCCTCTAATGCCTTCTGCCAGTGCCAACATCTCTCTTGTTAAATTAGCAGCAGCCATTTAAAGTCTTTTCAGTGGCATCTGCATGGTAATTGCACAGAGATGCTTTATATCTGGGAATCAGGCCAAGGAATAAACCTTGAAGCAAAGTGTATTAAATTGGTTATCTCGTTACAGCTTTTTGAATAATTTCCTAATCATGAATTAAGTTTGAACTCAGTGCTGTCAAGTTACATTGCTCCATTTGGACTGAAAAAGTAGAAATCAGAAGGGAAAATCATTTGTTGCTAGGTCATATTAGTCAGATATCTTGGCTGAAATGTATATGACTACTGCTACTTTCCATCTTCTGTAAGTATAGGAAAAAAGTATAGGATAAAAGCATAAATAGCTTCGTTAAAAAGGAAGAAAATTCAGCACCATTGTCATTACATGGCTTCTTGTAGTGCAAAGGCACATTGTTGATTTCTCAGATAAAAATTAATTACACAATGGTACCAAAAGCCTTTCATTATTAGCAACATGTGCCTATTAATGAGTCCATTAGCTGGTGACTAACAGCCACCTTCAATCGGCTACTAAAATGGTAGCTGGAGTCAAT